AGCCCATGGCAACCCACTGCAGCAGGGGCTGCAGCCTACGCCGTGGCCGGCGACTCACAGCAGCCCAGCTCCAGGTTGAACTGCCGTTCAGCATCTTAGCTGTGGAGGGCAGCGTCACTGGCCCTCACATGTGGGATCCAAACCGGGGCCCTCCGGCATCCCAAGCGAGTTCTTAACCATCGCGCCACTTGGCCGGCCTTCATATTTATATTTAAAGGCAATTCAGTGCCTATTCCATACATTATGATATACCCTAATAGGGTCTAAGGCAGCACCCCGTAAGGAAACACATTAATATTTCCATTGCAAACATGTATGATAAGTGGAATTAATAAAGGCTATAAATGGTCTTGTCAGGTTTTGATACCAAATGAGTCTGTGCCCATCAAATGGAAAACCTCCTAGTTTTCAGAACTTTGGGCTTCAGAATTGCAGATGCAGCTTTGTGAAGCTCTAAAAGAATACTGCAATGAATAATTTTACCCTCACAATTTTGTGACTGTACAAGTATATACATAGGATACCTCCTAGAAGTAGAGATGCTGGAGCATAGGCTATGTTCATTTGTGATATTTACAGATTTTGCTAGAGTAATAGCCATTGTTCTTCCTTGCCTGTGAACTGCTTATACAGTATGGTTTTCCAAACATTCTCACTTTTTGTCTGGTAACTTCTGGGCAATGAAAATTCTTCCTCCCTTCCTCTCTGCGCAAAGCTAGACTTAGAATCTCTGGCCCTTGGGAGAGGCAGCCAATGAAGCTGATGGACAGCAAGCTTTGCCGTCTGACCGTAGGGCAGTCCCCTTCCACAGGTGTGACCCTGGGCAAGTTACCTGCGTCCTCCCGAGCTTCCATTTCCTGGTCTGTAGAAACAATCTGTCTCCGTGACAGGCCCTCCCCACTTGCCCACCAACCTGTGCTCTTCTCTCTTGCGCACCCCGAGCCTCAGGGCCTGGGCTCCGCCCTCTCCCCGGAAGGAAGAACAGTCCAAGCCAACAGAAAGAAAGGTCCACAGGCTTTTTAATGGTGTGATGGCTACTTCCCTTCTGAGACCCGATCTAATCATGACAGCGGCTTCCAGGGTGTCGGGCTGGGGGTGGACAGGGTACAGAGTGGGCGGAGGCCATGCAGTGACTGGGACTGGGTGGGGGAGGGTGTTACATTCTGTTTGGCATGTAAACATTCTTCAGTGGCTTCCCCGGGGGAGGGGGAGGGCACGTCCCTGCCCCCCACCCCATGCCCACCAGGGCTGGTCCCTGGAGCTGAGAAGACTGAGCAAGCCAGGCCCCTGTGAGGAGCTGGGGAGGCGGGAGTCCAAGGGCCTGGGGCCCAGCCCCTCCCCTGCACCCTCTTGGTGCCCTGTGCAGCTGGGGAGGGAAGGCGTGTTCTGTTCTGGGGTGAGCAGCCCTGTATCTGAGCCAGTGACACAGGCTGAGCTCATGATGAGAAAGCGCTGGAGGGGTGCAGTGGTGGTAGTGGTGTCACACTCTGTTATAGAGAAGAGGCTTAGGACCCCAGGGCTTGGTGGGGGAGATGGGTGCTCAAGGGGGAAGAAGCTGCAGCTGGGGGGGGATAGGGGGCACTAGGAGGTGTGGTTTCCTCTGCCCTGGGTCCTTCCTGGAGAGAGGAGCAGAGTCAGTGGCCTAGCCCCCTCCCACACTTGCCCCTGCCCAGCCTCCCCCAACCTCGGTGGGTGATATTCAATGATGCAGAGGCCTGAGGTCAGTTGGGAGCCCTGGGGAGATCTGGTTTCCCAAGGACAGACAGGGTTTTGCATCTCTGCCCAGCTCCAGTGCTGGGTGAAGCTGGGAGGTGGGATGGGCCTGGGGCTCTCTCAGGCCATGCCCTTTTCCTCCCAACACCAAACCAGGGTTTTGCTGGTCCTGGGGCAGGAGTGAGGCTGGGGGCCCTACATTCACGGTTCGGTTGGTGGCAAGGAGCAGGCCCAGGGCCTGGGTACCAGGGGTCAGGCCTGGGTCTCCACCTGGCAGGAGCTGATTGTCATTCAGAGAAACTCTAGGTGGGAGAGAGTGGCCCTCCTCCACCCCCTCTGCTGGACCCAGGGGGCAGTAGAGGCCTTGGGAGGGTCTCAGCTTGACAAAGAGGGCTCTGTCCAGAGAGGTTTCCTGAGTGTTCTGGGAGCTTCTGCATCAGCATGGGGTGGACCTCAAAGGCTGTCCACCCTGGAGTCCTCCCCAAGGCTGGTCTGCAGAGACACCACCACCTTGGCATGGAAGCAGTTGCCCAAGCCTGCTGACTCTCCATAAGGGGTTTCAGCTGGCACCACCAGGGTGCTCCCGGGGCCAACTTCCTCGTGGGCATCCTTCTAAGTGATGGTGGCTGGAGCTGCCAGCCCACTGGGGCATGCTGGGGCCTTTCTTCCTCTTCCCCTGGTTATCTTGCCTTGCTCTCCATGACCCAAAGAAGAACAGAAGATCCAGGCCAGGGGACAGAGGCTGTGGGTGCCAAAGATGGAGGAGGCCTGCAGGGGACCTGTCCCAGATAGGCAGGGTTGGCTGTCCCTTCTACAGCCAGTGTACTGCTTGGCCCAGACGTAGGCAGTTGAAGCTCGTGATGAGCTGGGATGAGCTATGAAGGAGCGACCCAGGAGGACGCCCCATATCCATTCACGGAGCAGTACAGTCCTCAACCTCGACAGGGACAGCTTGGCTGCACAGTTTGGGGTTAGGAAAGAGGGGACAAGCTGAAGGGTGAGCTGGGGGAGGAGGGGATTTCGGCTGGACCAATCACAAGCGTACAACTTGGAAGTTAGAAGAGCCTTTCTGCCTCGAGTCCAGGGGCCAGCTGTCTGTCTGCATGTTTCTGCTCTCTCTGCCCATTGAGGGAGATGATGGTCTGATCCAGCCCACTCCTCACAGCCAAGAGGACAGCGGGGGTGACCTGGCCAGAACTGACTCCCTGAATCTCTAAAGGGCTGGGTAGAAAAGATGATAACCAGCCATTCTCCACCTCCACTGAACGCAGGAGGAGAAGGGAGTTGGCTGAAACTGCAGTAGGCAGAATTGAGGTTAGATGGCAATAAGGAATTCCTGATGGTGAGGGGTCCTGAGCATTAGATCAAGGGGCCAAGGGACAGGTGAAAACTTTTTAAGGTCCCCCTCTCCAACCTCCCACTGGGAAACACTTGCCAGGAAGGCAGCCCATACACTCTGTGGTTCCCACTGAGACCCCAACCAAATTTAGGGAGAGGGGGTCTTTGCACTTTAGAGGTGCAGGGGAACAGCCCTCATCACCTGCTCACTGCCTCCCACAGGGATGTCCAGGATGGAGCAGACTTTGGGACAGACCAGACCTGTCCCCTCACACCTGAGTAGACCAGTGGCCCCAAGGTCCCACCTCCCCAACCTCAGTCTGGCCACTGAGAAGAGGTCCTTACCAGGAGACTGTGGGCTCGGCCCCCAGAGGAGGGTGGAACCTCCACTTCCAGAATTTGAGGCTGCCTTTTTGAAAAAAGGGGGTGGGGAGGCTTTGGCTGGAAGAGGGTCAGGAGAAGGGAAAGGCGCTGTTAAGAGGTGTAAGCACAGGTGAGGGGGGCGCGTGGAGAGCTGCAGAGGCCTGGTGTGTGAGCGGGGCGTCTCCATTAATGGGGTCCTCGGTGAAGAGTGACTGAGCCTTCCCGGGGCGGAGGGTGAGCCTGCCCCACCTGAAGGATGGCAGGGAGTGTGATGTAACGGGGTAAGTTAGGCGAGGCGGGCGTTACCCCCGCGGCGCGGCGCCTGCCACCGATCGGGTCTTGCCGGGCAGACGGGCGGGCGCGGCAGGTGCTGGCGCGCGCAGTCGCGGGTGCAGGCGGGAAGCTGGGGCCGCGGGTGGCGCGCGTCAGGCGCGTAAGGCTGTGCTGGGAGCTGGTCCAGTATGGCCGGCTGCGGGTCGGGGGCCGGGGTGAAGGTGGGGGGCCGCGGAGAGCCGCGCGCGTCATTATCTGGCCCCGGCTCGGCCCTCCGCGACACCTGCCCGGCCTTTGGTTGCTGCGCGCTGAGTCTGGAGTTTCCCTTTGGGTCCTTTCTTGGGGCCCCCCGGGGAGGGGGTGCCGTCAGGTTGGGCCCGGGTCTGCGGGGCGCCCTGGGGTGGGGGGGCCCCGGGCCGGGCCTGGTGTGAGGGTGAAGGGCTCTCTTTGCGGGACAGGGACTGACTCCGGGGGGACGCGCTGGGATTGCGCGCAGCGGAGGCGGGGAGGCCCGGATTGCGCGGGGCTGAGGGCCTGGTGCTGGCTTGGGCTCGTCCTGGGGCCAGGCCACGGCCAGCGGGCTGTCTGGGGCGGAGGTCAGCAGCTATGGTGGACCCTGGGGGCTTCTGCAGCTGGAGCCTGCGGGAGGAGGGGAGGGCAAGAGAAAAGAAGAAGGCAAAGAAATAAAAAAAGAGACATTTTCAGAATCTCCCCGGGCACTGAGCCTTAGAGTCTTGCATCCTCAGCGCTGGCTGAGACTGAGGAAGACCACCACACAGACAGAAAAACTGAGGACTGTTGCTCCATCCTCCAGGGCAGGACCTCTAGGGGCCCCATGCTCTTAGGCTGCTACCTACTGGAAGAGATGGCTGCAGGCTTTCTTTGATGTCTACTTCACCTTTCAAATTCTCGTGGATTTTACATGCTAGTATACCCACATTTATATTAATACGAATAACGTTTTCTCCCAACTATTCTGGGCTTATCCTTCGGCTTCAAATGCCCCATGGCACACTAGAGGCTGTGTGTAGGCCCCACCGGCCATCAACCTTTCCCAAACCTGGCCTCCCTGGCACCCCTCCAGACATGCTCACTGTAGCCACTCCCATGAGCCCAGGGACAGGGCCGGGACCTGAGTCAGAGGTGGTGGACAGGAGGTGTCGCTGAGAATCCTTGAATCTTCAGTAGCCCCTGACCTTGGCTCTGGGGAAGCCCCTGCTGGTGGAGGCCTTCTGTGGTCCCCCTCTGCTCACCCTGGGAATGGCCGTGGTTTCTCACCTGCTGGTGATGGCTGTGTCAGATGCCGGGGTCGTGCCATGGGGTCTGCCGGGGGGCTGCTGGGCGGGGGCAGGCATGGGCATGCGGACGCTGATGGGGCGGGGAATCCGACTCCTGGTGGTAGCTGCCCGCCCGGCCTTCCTGGAGACATTGGGCTCAGAGGCGGGCGTGTCCTCCTCGGAGCCTGTGCCTGAGAGCGTCTCAGAGGCACGCCGTTGCTCCTCACTGGAGGAGGACGAGGCCCCGGAGGCCAGCCGCAGTAGCAGGCGGCCCTGCCTCTTCTCCATCACCAGCCGCGCCAGGTCTTGCTGTGGCCTCGCCCTCTTGCTCCACCGCTCTTTGGCCGACAGTGAACCGGAGGGCTCAGAGCCCGTGTCCTCCTCAGACAGCAGGACAGGGATGCGGCTCCTAGGGCGAGGACCTGGCATGGCACGGTGGCTAGGGGAGATGGTGGCCAGTTTTTCGGGGCCTGGTTCCGGCAGGGACACTGGGGCTGGCCCGTCGGCAAGTGCTGGGCCATTGGGCAGTGAGTCCATGGCCGCCTCCAAGGGAGTGTCCCCAGGGGGGCCAGACAGGGCACAGCTCTCCAGCCCTGACTGCGCAATGCCGTTCTCCATGAGTACGGAGGTTCCCTCCTCCACAGCCCTCCCATCAGAGGGTACCTCCAGGCCCAGCTCGCCCCCAGAGCTGAGCTCCTCAGACCGCGAGGCTTGTCCACCAGAAGACATGACGTTGAGGTGGGTTTTCTCAGCAATGTGCACAAAGGTCCTCTCGACTTTGGTGAAGGGTGAGGAGGTGACTGCCACTCCCCCTGCCCCTGTGGGCACTGCCCCCGCCCCCAGCCCTGTCCCAGGCCCAGAGGGCTTAGGCTCAGACTTGAGGATGGAGGACAGGGTGCCTGGCTCAGACACGTCCAGCTGGCTGCCCGTGGGCTGGGGCCGCTCGTGCTGAGGCGTGAGGGCAGCCAGGGTGCCCAGGTCAGGGTCGGGGGCCAGGTCGGCAGTGACGGGCGACTTCTTCATGTCGCCAGGGGAGACGAGCACCAGCGTTTTGGAACCCTCCTCAGGCTCCAGGTCCCCGTCAGCCATGGAGGCCCGGCCCCTGGACTCCTTCTGATCATCAGCCAGCAGCGTGGACGGCGCACCCTCTTGACTCCGGTCAGTGCTCCTCTCGCTCCCCTCACTGCTGGAGCCACTGCGAGGCTCCAGCGCCTCCCCCAGGGCCACTGCTTCCTCGTCCTCCTCTTCCTCCTCCTCCTCCTCCTCCTCCTCCTCTTCTTCCTCCTCTTCTTCCTCTTCCTCCTCCTCCTCTTCCTCCTCTTCGTCTTCTTCCTCGTCGTCGTCCTCCTCCTCCTCCTTCCCATTAGCTTGAGGCTGCACAGGAGCCCGTGGGACCTGGGGGGCGGTGAGCAGCATGTGCGAGAAGCCCACCCTCCGGACCCTGTTGAGGAGCAGAGCCCGCTCACGGTAATCGGACAGGTCTTTCTTGAAGTCCTGGTAGGGCAGGCTCAGAGGCACAGCTCGCGGAAGTCCGTTCACCTCAAACGGGGGCGCCACGGAGAACACCTGCAGGGGGCACACACAGGGACTCGCTGAAGTCACCCACCCTCCTGCGCCCAAGAAGACCTGGACTGCACCCACAAGCTAGGAGGCCTACAGGTCCAGGTGTGTACACCAGAGCGTGAGCTCCATGCGGGCAGGCCCTGCATCTGCTTTGTTTATTGCTCTAGCTGAGGACTGTGGGGGTCACTCTAGGTTTCTGTAGGTTTGAAGCAGAGAGACTAGATTTAGGTTTCAGGAAGATCACTCAGGCAGCGATGGGATGGGTGGACGAGCAGTGCGGGATGGAGAGAACAGGCTGGTGGCTGGGGAACCACCAGGCAAGGCAAGGCTGTGCCCATGGGTTTGGGGCAGCAGACACAGATGTCTAAGACGTATGCTTGGCAGGACTCCCTGAGAGTCTGATGGCATCTGAGGTGTCAGAGGTGTCAGGACATCTCTGGGGCCACTGGAGCTCCAGTACCCTCCCCTCCTGCCCCTTCATGGCCTGTCAGCCAGGAATTTTCCAGACCTCTAGGTGTGTTTTGAGGCCACACTTCCTCTAGGAAGTCACAACCAGCCTGTGAAGGACAGATTCTTTTCACTCGATTAAGTTTTCCCAATTTGAAGCTTTGTACAGAGTCCTTGGCAATGGCCTATTGGTTTTCTAAGAGTCCTGCCACATCTCCCCTTCGCCTCCTTCCTTCCAGATGAGAAAGGCCTGACCACCTACCAGGACCTCAGCTGCTGCATCTTCTCCAGCTCCACCCTGTCAATCCACACACATCCCCAGACACCCACAATGCACCAGGCCCCACCCAGGCTGACATGGCTTTGTTCCAGGTGGGATGGTGCTAACAGTGTCCAACACTTCGTTAGCCTTTTTTGAACATGCTGTGCCTCCATCTTCCTAAACCTATGAGCCCATCCAGACCAAAATCCCCGGAGAGATCCTGACACCATCAGGTGCCATTAGACTCTCAGGGAGTTCTGCCAAGCATACGTCTTAGACATCTGTGTCTGCTGCCCCAACCCCATGGGCACAGCCTTGCCTTGCCTGGTGGTTCCCCAGCCACCAGCCTGTTCTCTCCATCCCGCACTGCTCGTCCACCCATCCCATCGCTGCCTGAGTGATCTTCCTGAAACCTAAATCTAATCCCATCTCTCCCAGCTTTAAACCTACAGAAGAAACCTACAGTGACCCCTACAGTCCTCAGGAGACAGTTCCAACCCTTGGCTGGCACATGAGCAACCCCTCCCCCTCAGCCCCTGGATCTGGCTTCTGCCCTCTGCTCCAACCTCACTTCTAGCAGCACCCTCTGATCCCCGCCCTCTAGCCCAGACAGACACAAGTGCGCGTAGATGCTACCAGCAGTTCCCCAAATGCATCACGCAACTCACACTTCTGGGTCTTTCCCTAGGCAGTTTCCTCTGCCTGGGGGTCCTTCTCACCCCATCTAGTCACATGAAAAATTTCTGTTATTTCTCCAGGACTCAGCTCAAACAACTCCTCCTCCAAAAATTCTTCCTGTCCACTGGCCAAGCAGACTGCATCTCTCTCCTTTCTATTTGTTCTCCCACATCCTTCCCTTAGAGAAACTTCCACACTCTGTTCCACATGCAGGTGTTCACATGGTTCGCTCTCCTCATAAACACTAAGCCCCTTAAGCATTTTTCTTTCATTCATTCATTCACTCACTCACTCATTCATTCATTCAAGAAGTCCTGAATCTGTGCATTGAGTATTGAACAAGATAAACATGGTCCTCATTTGAATGGAGTGTGCTCAATGAAATGGGGGTAATGCATACTCCACAAAGGTTGTAAGCATAAGTGAAGTCATACAAGCAATGTGCCTGGCATACAGCAATTGCTCAATACATGTTCGTTCCTTCCCTCCTACCTCCTGCCCTGTTCATTCCGATTTGGAGGTCATTACCTGCCTCCCCAACCCCAGACATGCCCACATGCTACACCTATGGGGGATAGGGTGGTGGGGGAAAGGGGACGTCCGCTAGCAGAGGCCACTGTGCAAACAGACAGCCCAAAAGCTGGTGGGGAGGGAAGGCAGGAATCCCCAAGGCCAAAGGTCTGCCCAAGGCTGTCTGTGACTTAGTCCATCCTCAGCTGCCATCGTCTTCCTCACAATCAGACCATCAGGTGAGGACTTGATGGGTGGGGCAGGTGGGGAGTGATGCAAGACAGGGAAGCATCAGGTCCTGGACAGGGCCCCGGCACACCCTGTTTGAGCCAGACAGGGAACTTCTTTAGAGCTTTGTCCCCTTCACAGCCAGGCTAGAAGTTCCCAGCAATTGTTTTCTTTTTCTGCGTCATCCTCATTTTGCATTAATTCATTTAGCAAACATGAAGTGCTGGTTCTGTGCCATGCCTGGTGCTGGGGCCCTTTGCCATGTTTAGTTAATGTCAAGCGTAGAGAAGGTGACTGGGCAGAGGTGAAGGGGGTTGATGTGAACTCCTGGGTTTGTGGGGACCATGGGTCCAGAAACAGGCAGACAGATACGGAGCTCTAATCATGTCTCCCTCCTGTCCAGCTCAGAATTCAGCCACCCTGCACCAGACACATCCCACCCAGCAGGGATAGCCTTCAACCTCACTACACATCCTTTCTCAGCAGAACGTATCCCTGTTTTCTCCGTCGATCTCTGACACTTTGGGCATCCCTGGCAGAACCACTTTTTCCTCTGCTCGGGCCCTGGATCTCTCTGGAAAAGCCCCACCCATAGGATGGACCCACCTCTTACAGTGCTGTTAGATGATCATAGCTGGAAACCTCCCTCTTTCCATCTCAAATCCCTCCCTTTCTATTACCTGGGAGGGAAAAGGAATGACAACTGAAAATCAGGCATCAGTGATGATATCAGACTGCAAAACTGAGGCCTGGAAAGAGGTGGTGACATGCCCAAGCACATCACCCAGGGTGGCCCAGAACCCAGAACTCTTTCCATTGTCTCACTGGCCTCCCACCTTCTAATGCAGGGAAACCTGGGACCCTCAGCCCTTTAGCAGGAAGGGCTGTGAACCTTAGAGTGGGGACAGTTTTGCCCTAAGGATCACCGCCAAGTTCACCTAGGCCTGAGCATGTTGGGTTTTCTGTTTCAAAGTCCCGCTGCCCCTCTGCATCTGTTTCCATGTTGGGGAGCGCCAGGCCTAGGCTCAAGTTCCTGCCTTCTCAGACAGCGGGCAGTCCTCCCTTCCCCCTCTCCCAGCCTCTCCTGGATGCCTGAACCCAAAGAGCATCCATTCTCACATGCAACCTAGTGCTCATTCACTCAGCCAGCAGTCATTAAACACCCTCTGTGTGCTTGGCCCTAGAGGGCTGAGGACACCATAGGAGGGGGACAGCAGTGACACGCTCCCTCCCATTCCAGCTCACAGGAAAGCAACAGTGCTGGGTGTCAGGAGGGGAAGGCCAAGTCTGGGGAAAATCACACTTTCCTGCTTCCTTCCCGGGGCAGTGACCTTTTATGATTCCAATCTGCTTATTGTGGTTCTCCAGCTTAGTCTGGGACAGCATTATCTGGGGGTGATTCTTCAAAATACAGAGTTCTACCCCCCAGATTCTGTAGGCCAGAGATGAGGCCCAGAAATCAGTTTGGGCAAAGCTCCCTGGTGACTCTGCTGGAGTTGGCAAAAGGCAGATGTCGTAGGGTGAATCGTGGTAGGAGGGGAGGCAGGCCATTGGAGCTGAATCATTCAGAGAGAATGAAAGCCCCGGCCCTCCGCCTGCCCCCACTGAGCCCAGACCAGAGGACTGTGGCCTCTCTTGCTTCAGAACCCAGTCCAAGTCCATATTTTCTCCAGTCAGCAGGAAAAGTGAAGGGAGGTGGATGGACCAGGCTCTGATCTTCCCCTACCACCAACAAAACTGGGTTCTCCTCAGCTTGACTTCTCTGACATGGACGTGGAGGACAGGTTACTCCAAATACCCCCATCCCCACACAGGGTGCATAGGGCAACTCTCCCGCCTGGACCCTGGCCAAGCCCAGGCATTTTGCACTGCATATCAGCACACGGGTCCCAAGGTCAAAGAAGGAGGGCTGCTGAGTGACAAAAGCAGGAGGATGAGCCTTCGTTTACTCTTGCCTCGTTGGGCGGGGGTGGAGAAGGCTTTAGTGCCTCTCACCCCTCCTCTTCCCTCAGCAGCCACCAGGTGCACCCCTCTCTTGTCCCCTTCTCCCCAGGGGGAAACCCCCCCTTGCCATAATTGCCCAGCCTGAAAATTGGATATGAGAAAAAGTCGACAGCGTAGCCTCCTCCATGTACCACTGCCTTTCCCAGATTCTTTACTTATCTGTCTGCGTCTCCACTCTCAAACCACATCTGCCAAACATAGAGCCCTCCCTCTGCTCCTCCACCCTACTCCCCGGAGTGCCACCCACCCCAGGTTCCCTGGCCAGGGACAGTCATCTGGGTGGAAGAAGTAAGATGACCTGGGAAGGTGGCTGCCTATCCCAGGCCTGTACAGATCCTCACACACTAGATCTCCAGGTCTCCTTGTCCCCAGTCTATCCCTGCCCGGCCCTGGGCAAGGAGCTGACAGCATGGGGGCAGCCTAAATGCAGCCGGGGTCAGGCAGTGCAGCTGTAACTTGCCCTTCTCCTGCCCCCACACTTGCTTTAGGCCCCAAGGAGAAAGATGTCTTCCCCTTTTGTCATTGTGGCAGCAGGCTTACAGGGCTGGAGTGGGATCAGACAGAAGGAGGAGAGCTCCCCTTTTCACCCTCTTTCTCTGCAGCCTCAGAAGTCACGGCAATCCTCTCCTTTTCCATGTCCGTCCCTGTCATTCACCTAGTCCTCCCTGAACCCACATGCTATCCCTGTATCCCCACTCTCTCTCTCACTGACCCCCTCAATAGACCCTTCTCCCCAGGCCAGGGCTGCCTCAGATCCCCCCTCAGAGCAGCGGAGCAGGAGAAGGCTCCTGTGGCCGCCTCACAGGCTCTCCAGCCTTCTGGCTTCCCACCCACACTGCACACTTGGCCTCTAGGGTCCCATTCATTGAGCAAC